ATGGCCAGGTCGCACTTGCTACTCAGTGCCTCCTGGCTGCTGTCCTTGTTGTCATCAGGACTACAGTGAGCCAGGCCTCGGGATTGCTCCTGGAGACCCCAGTCCAGCCTGGTGAGTGTGTCTGGCTATGGGGGAGAGACCAGGGGCAGGTGGGCTGCCGGCAGTGGGAAGGAGAGAGGAGAAAGCTCAGCAGGTTGTGAGAGGGCGGGGTCGGGGGGACACCCCTGAGGAGTGGGGAGATGAGAGGCTAGGAAGAAACTAGCAGTTGGCCTATTGCACTTGCGTCAAAGGAGATAGTCCTGGCTTCTGCCCTTTCCCTTCCATTTTGCAAGATTTGCCTTTACTCAGTGTCCAATCCCAGTCCCTAAGAGCCATCACCACACCCTCAGCCCCCTCGGGGTGTTCAGATAAATAAGGCTTTACTGAGATAGTGTTGGCCTCTGTATGAGTCCTTGCTGTATTAATGTAGAAGGGGGTATTAAGCGGTTTATGTTCAGGGTAAGTGTTTGGTATAGCACTGCAGGATACCCAGATCTCAAACTGGAGTGCAAGAGACAGAGGGAAAATCTTCTATCCATTGGTTCACTCCCAAAATGGCCACAGTCTCCAGAACTGGGCCAGGCCAAACTCAGGAGCCAAGAACTCCATCCACGTCTCCTATATGGATGGCAGGGGCCCAAGTACTTGGGCCAGCACCCACTACCTTCCTAAGCGCATTAGCAGGAAGCCAGATCAGAAGCACAAAGCAGCCAAGACTCAAACCGTGGCTCCGATCTGATCCAACTTCCTGCTAATGGTCCCCTAGGAGGTAGCAGGTGACGGTGACGGCTCAAGTATTTGGGTCCCTGCCACCTCTGTGGGAGACCTGGATTGTATTCTCTGCTCCTGGCTTCAGCCTGGCCCTGCCCCAGCTACTACAGACACTTGGAGAGTGAACCAGTAGGTGGAAGGTCTATCTGTCTATCTCTTTGTCTGTGTGCCTTCCAAACACAGAAGAAAAAAATTTTAAAATCCAACTAGTTTACCCTCTTCAAAGGTTGCCAAAACCCTGTGCCAGTCTTTGGAGGGCTTTTTAGGTACTGCAGCCAATTTCCTGCCTTCTCCCAGCTTCCTCTCTCCCTGAGGGAGAGCAGGAGGTTGTCTCTCACTCAGATGAAGGAGGAGGGGGCCCTCTTGGTCTGGCTCAGCGAATACCACTAAGAGAAATCCAAGAGATCACACACACCAAGGTGAGGTGGGACCCTCTTGGAACAGTAGGTGCAGGTAGAGGAGTGGCCTGGGGGATCCTGTAGCAGTCAGCACTGAGGATTGTGGGTAGAACCTGGCATTCGGGGCCTTGGGGTGTTATTGGGTCAGGGTTTGCCCCAGATGGACCCCAGCCCTCACCAGAGTGGGGCTGACCTCTCTTTTCCAGGTGTCTGGGGCCTGGGGGTGAGAGGTTACAGATAGGGATATACTCGAATCACCATCAGATCAGTGCCGAGGGTGAGACAGCTGACTGACAGCCCTGTCAGCCAATGGCGCTCATCCCTTCAACTCACAAATAGGGACTGACCAGCTCCTGAGTGCCAGACACCATTCTGGGCTTTGCACATACAGCAGTGAGCAAGTTTATATTCTAGAAGAGGGAGACAAAAATAAACACCTATGTAAAATATAGTTGTGACATGGTATAAAAAATAACTAAGGTACTGAGAGTGGACTGGGTTGTTACAGTTCACAACAGGTGAGTTAGGGAGCTTTGTCACAGAGAAAACAGTGTTGAAGCGAAGCCCTGGAGTGAGCCATGCAGATTATTTGGGGGAAGAATGTTCCAGGCCAAGAGAACTATAGGTGCCAAGGCCCTGGGGTGGAAATGTACCTAGTGTGTTTGAGGATCAGCAAAAAGGAGAGGCCTGTGAGACAGCAGTAGAGTGAGGAGGTGGGGCTACAGGGATGGGGGCAGGGGTGGGACAGATCGGATGAGGACTTGTGAGCCGGGGTCCTTGGCCTTCATGTGGAATGGGTGGAAAGCCACAGGGAGGCTGGGTGAGCAGGGGAGGGACATGATTTGGCTTTAGTCTGGAGTAGTGAGAGCCAGATATAGGAAAGGCTCATTCTTCCCACGTTGTCTCCCTCCAAAGGACGGCCAACACTCACACTTGGTACCCTCCCCTGCCCCTGTGACCCTGCCCATGCCCGGCCGTGTGGCGCCACCTCCTGTTGCCCGGCCATCACCTTTCGGACGAGCTCAGCGTGTCCCCTCCCCTGGTGCCTCGGCGGCAACGGTTTGTATCAACGGTCTTGGTTGGGGGCTGGGCGAGGGCAGAACAAGCTGGCCGGTGACCCCTGCCAGGCCTAGGTTCAGCTGCTCATATCGCTTCCCCAGACATCATATTCAATGCTGCGGCGTTTCACCATGCGACCCAAAACGCGATTCACACCCATCCCGTCAGCCCCCCGAGTCCAGCAGGTAAGAGGGGGCGTGGGAGGCAGCTGCTGGGGACTGAGACTAGAGGAGAAAGGAGACGGGTAGGGGTAGGGACGGTTAAGACAGAGGCACGGGGGGAGTGGGTTCCATCTGTGGGTGACCTCTCACTTCCGTGCCAGGCCCGATGGCTGCGTGGCCTCTCCCCTCAGTCCTGCCAGGAGGAGCCCGCCCTCTCCTGGGTAAGTGTTAAAGCCCTCCTGCGCTGAGAACCTGTGTGCGGTGCTGGCTGCCCAGAGGCCCAGCAGTTTGGAGCAGGTGTGCTCTCTCTAGAAAAGCTGCTCCTTGCATCTCTACTGCCCCTTCTACTTGAAGCCTCCCTTCCTGACAAGGGTGGGACTCGGGCTCTGTCTTCCTGCCCCGGGCCCCGGCTTCCTTCACATACCCCTTCCCGCTCCGTGGCAGGGGCAGATTGCGGTGCAGCTGTTTGACCAGGAGACTTCTGGTGAGCTGCAAGAGGGGCCTGGGGACCCACTGGCAGCGCCCCCTGCTGTGCACTCCAGTGGAGTCCCCAGGCTCCAGGAGCTGAAGATGCAGGTGGGCCTATGGGGGCAGCAGCTCCGATGCCGGCGGGGGCGTGGGGGTGGGGAGAGGACAGCGTGGTGGGCTGAAGGTCCCTGCACCGTGGTGTCACAGCGGGGTACTGTCTCCCCCCACAGCGCATCAGTGTCCTGCAGCAGCTGTTAAGGCAAGAGGTGGAGGGACTGGCAGGGGACAAGTGTGTCCCCCTCCACGGGGCCCCATCGCTGGATATGACTGAGCTGCAGCCTGTGCTGGCGGAGATTTCTAGAACTGTGGATGTCCTGGAGCCCGCTTCTGGGACTTCCCGCTTTCATTCTGAGCTGCCGCAGCCCTGCCTTCCACAGGGGGCCCAGGAGACACGGCCCTGCCCTGCAACAGAGCCAGCAACCCCAGAGTCCTGTAGGGGTGAGGTGCCAGAGCCGTCTCCCCAGGATCAGCCCAGGACACCAGAGCCCTGCCCTCCAGTAGAGCCCTGCCCCCAGGGCCAGGCCAGAGCCCCTGAGGCCTGCCCTAGGGTGGAGCAGGCGCCATCAGAGGCCTGCTCCTTGCCACCCAGCCCACAGCCCTCCTGCAGCCAGGGGGCTCCAGCGACCACCAGCCTGACCTTCTCTTCCCAGCGGCCACTGTGTGCCAGCCCCCCTATCCACTCCCTCCAGTCTCCGAGGCCCCTGGCGGGCCAGGCAGGTAAGAGGTGGGTGACGAACACTGTGAACAAAGGAACCCCCCTCAGTCACTGGGCGCTGGGGCCGCCCTGTTGCCTGTACGTCCCACCTTCTACCCTGCCCCAGCCAGGTTCCGCAGGGAGCAGGCTAGGAGCTGCCTCTCTAAGCCCTGTGCTCCTAGTTGGCTCGGCCTTGGAGGACTGGGAGAGCAGCCCTGGGGTCGGGAGCAGGGGCAGACAGGACTCTGAGATGGGACTCAGAGCCCTCTCTCAACTCTCTGTGGCCCTCAGGCCCCAGCAGGCTGGCCCCGCGAGCCCTGGCCCTGAGACAGCGCCTCAAAGCCTGTCTAAGTGCCATCTACTGCTTCCACGAGGCCCGGCTGGACGACGAGTGCGCCTTCTACACCAGCCGAGCCCCTCCCACAGGCCCCAGCCGGGTGTGCACCAACCCTGTGGCCACACTACTCGAATGGCAGGATGCCCTGGTGAGCCGCCACCCCCCTTCTCACCCCCCTCCCTGGCCTGGCCCAGCCAGGCTGTGTGGGGAGTGGGGGCGGGGCAGGGGGCGGGCCTTGGCTGCTCTCCAGAGAGGTCATTGGGCTGGCTGTCTGTCTGGGGGAAGGGTGCCGGGCTGTGTGACAGGGGTCTTCTCTCTGTCTCCAGAGTTTCATCCCAGTTGGTTCTGCTGCCCTGCAGGACTCTCCACCCTGAGTCACCTGCCTCCACCTGCGTGCTCCTCGCCTTTTTAGCCCCTATTTATTTGCCCGTGTGCTCACGGGATTGGAAGCCAAAACCCTTTTGTCCTTTAATAAAGTTTCTGAAGTGTCCAGATATCCAGCTGGTGAGTCTGACTAGGTCGCGACGGGTGTTGTTCTCCAACTGCCCACATGGTGGCAGTGTCCCCCCAGCTGGGAGGCCAGCCCCAGGCTCCCCCTGTCTGGAAACCGCCTACCCCACCCCTGGGTGAGCTGGGGGGGGGGGTAGCAGTGTGGCACCTGCTCTTCTCCCCGCTTCTTGAGATGTGTCCCACCCGCAGGAGCCATCTGGCACTCCCTCTTTCCCTAGCACTCCTCTTCTAGAACTTTCTCCATGTGTCACAACAGAAGAGAAGCAGCACCAGACCCAGGCCTTTCGAACCCTCACTTGTTAGCGAACCCTCACTTGTTAGCGTCACTCTGGGTGGTGTCTCCCCCAGCTCTGCTGGAGTTCAGACCTTCCCCAATTCTCCCTCCAAGCCCCCCCACCACCACTGCACACACAGTGGCACCCCGAGAAGCAGGGAGTGACAGGGAACGGGTCAGCCAGCCGTGTCCCCCACCCCCGGGGCAGCAAGTTAAGCAGCCACACACAGTCTCCCAGCCTCACTTTATTGGAAGAGGCAATGGCAGCTGTAGCCCCAGGGCTCGCCCTGGATGGGGTGAAATGGGACTGTACAGAATGAGTTTTCAATGCCAACGGAAAAATTCAGCATTCCCCCAGTTCAAAGGCAGGCACCAAGGCTGGAGCCTGGAGACTGAACATGGCGATGAAAGGGAGGCGGGAATGGGAGCGACCAGGACCAGCACCTACCCCGTCCTAACGCCTCTTGTCGTCTCAGATGGGCTCCTGTTTCTGCTCTTTTCCTCCTGTTTCCCGGACCTCTGATCCCCAACTCAGGGCACGACGCAGGGCCGTGACCTCCTCGCCCTCCCCGCTCAGGCTGTCAGGGGCATGCGGTCGGTGGGCGGTCGGCTCCTCCCGGCTCCTCCCCCAGGCTCCCCTATCACCTAGGCCCGGAGCGCGCACAGCGCCCTGGGTGTGGCGGGCGGGCGGGAGGTGGGTGGGGAACGGGGCGGGGTGGGGGGGGCAGGGGGAGGGGGTTGGGGAAGGGCGCGGGGAGGGGCCGGCTCAGTCCGGATAGATGATGAAGCCCGAGAAGGTGCTGTACTTGTTGGTGTTGCCGCCGTGCACCTTCCCGCCGTCCAACTTGATGAAAACCTCGTCGCCTACATCCAGGTGCAGGATGACGCTGTTGCTGGCGTAGTCGTAGTTCTGGTCGGCGTCCTGCGCTATGGCGCTGGCCCGCACCTAGAGAGGAAGGGACAGCAAAGCCACACGTCCTGTGCGTGCGTGTGGGGCTGGCTGAGCGCAGCAGGCCGGGCGGCGGTGCGCGCCCCAGCGGGGGAGGGTGGAGCGAGGGGCCGCCGGCCGCAGGAACCAGGCGTGACTTGGGCAGAGGCCTGGAGAGCACGGCCATTCGCTGCCTTGTGTGACTGCAGGCAAGTTTCACTCCTTCTCTGGGCCTCGATTGGAACTATAAAGTGGGAGTAGTTACAGAGCCCACCTCACCAGGTCGTTAGGCTGAAATGTGTCCAAAACTCCGTTTCCATACGGAAAACGCTTTGCTGTTATGGGTCTCATTTTTTAAAATAAAACAAACCCTTAGGGTAAGATTTCCTACCCTCTGGGACCTCCTGTTAGAGTTACCCTTGGGTTCCTCCCTGCTTCTTGATGGGGCAGGGGAAGGTACACTGTTGTGACGTGGGGTGGGGACCGCCTCCCCGAGAAACAGGGAGCTTTTCCCTTCTCTGTCCTCGTGGCAACGGGTCCCCTCAGGCCACCAGCCCCCTCCCCAGCCCCCTCTTCCGTCCCACTGGGGCTGGTTATTAACTTATTAATTATTCATCATTATTCTAATCATTATTTACCGTCCCCGGGGCCGCAGCGCCCGCGCAGCGGAATACAGAGTGGGAGCTGCGGCGCCGCGCACTCTGGCAAGCCCGCACAGCAACCCGCGGCGTCCTACCTCCTCTACTGCATGCCCTGTGCAGGCCAAGCACACCTACTGGGTACCACAGGCAGACACCCTGTGTCACACACCCTTGCCTCATGCACCATGACACACACGTATCATGCACACACACACTCCTTTTACACACACGCAGATCACACACCCATACAGGCATGCAGGCACTGTCACTCCCTTTCTTTGGGTCCCTAGGTGGCCCTGCTGGGAGGAAACCCCCCACAGATGGGCAGCGGGAGGGCGCTGTGGCTGTAGCAGGGCCCAGGTCTTGGACAGAGGCCAGAGGAGCAGGCCCCATAAGATTACCCCAGCACCGCACAGGGCACCCAAAGGTCACCTCTCAACCCCAACCTCCAGAGGCCTCTGTGACCCTGGAACCAGCCCCCACTCCACCCCATGCCTGCACCTGCAAGGTGGGGACACCCTTCTGCTAGGCACATCGAACCAGAGCTGAGTCCTTGGAGCTATTCCTGCAATCCAGGGGGGCTCAATGCCTCCAGCTTTGCCCACAGGGACTGGGAACAGGGAAATTTGGAGACAGGTTGCTCAGGACAGGCCAGGGTGCAAGCTGCCATTCTGCCTGTCCCTTGCCTCCCTCCTGCTGGGATCAGACCTTTCCTTGAAGCCATCTGGCTGGCTCCTGGACTGCTAAGCTATTTCCCACCTCTGCCTATGGCTCAGTATTAGCTGAGGGCAAGGCCTATCGTAGGCTTGGCCACAAGGCCCCGGGTGAGCAATAGCATAGCTGCCTGCCAAGTGAGCATTTTCTTTCTTTTTTACCTTTTCTTCAAGAACAGAAGCTGAATCCACCCCACCCCCCATATAGGAACAGCTGCTAACTGCCTACTGCCTGAAACACAGGTTTCCCATTCTAATCCAAAGCAGCCTGAAGTTAGGCAGCTCACCCAATGCAGGGGGACCTCCCCAAAGGCCAGGAGGGCTGCTACAGACTATCGGGTAGCCCAAGAGAGGATGGAAAAGAACCTCATTTGCAGGGTGAGACAAGACATTTGGTGAGGTTGCCTTCCGTCTGAGTGTGAGGGCGGACAGCACACACCTGAAGCTTTGAATCCTGAGTTCTAATTGTGACCGCCTTCCTAAGGCACTGGGAGACCCCCCCCTCCAAGCAAGTGCTCTCCCGCCCCCCGACTCCACTCCCCAAATCTGGCCTCCAATTCCTCTGTGGCTAACTGAAACGGTTCCTAAGTTTTGTTAGCAGCCTGGCATTTCTGGATTCGGTGGCGATATTCCAGGATGGAGCTCAGTTTGTGGACTGGGGCTGGGGCGGGGGGGAGGGGCGGGGGGGAGGGAGGGAGCCTCACCTGTCCGTTCTTCATCAGGTCGGCCCACATGCTGGTGCCGTCGCCACCTCGCATGAGCACGTGGTAAGCAAAGAAGTAGACGCCTGGCATGGGGCAGGTGAACTTGCCACTGGCTGCCTCATAAGCGTTGCCCACGTTGGTCACCACGTCGTCAAAACGTAGCACCTCGTACCCTTCGTGAGGTCGCCGCAGGCCGGCGTAGAAGGCAATGCGAGGCACGTAGCCGGCCGGGGGCGCCACCCCGCCGGGGCCGGGGCCTGGAGGACCCGGGGGACCGGGCCTCCCGGGCTCTCCCGGGGGTCCTCGGGGACCTGGTGGCCCCGGGGGGCCCCGCAGGCCTGCCTTTCCCCGGCGACCCATCTCTCCCTTGGCTCCCGGAGGGAAGGGAGGCACGGAAGCGGGGGTGCCGTCTGGGCTCGGGCCTCGGGGCCCGTGCGGGTCGCAGACCATGCGGCAGCGACCCAGCATCTCATAGTGCGCCGGACCACGGGAGCTGTGCACAAGCAGCGGGATGGCCACCAGCAGCAGCAGCACCATGGCCACCCCGACGGCCACCCCCGCCACCCGCTTGCGGCGGCTCAGCCGCGACGCGGCCAGGGCCAGCAGATCTTCCTCACTCTTGGGCGCAATGGCGACGGAGGCCCGGGGCTCTCCGCGGGCCCTGGAGGAGGTGGCCGGGCTCGGGCCTGGGTCTGGACCCCCCCCGACGGCTGTGCCCGGGCCTCCTGCCCCCGCGGGCCCCCGCCGCAGCTGTGCCGTTCCCCAAACCGTCCGTCAAGGCGGGGGTCTCCCCCACGGGCTCGGCCAAGGGTAGTTCCCGACGGCTCGCAGCCCGTGCTCCTGTTACCACCCTCCTGTGCAGTCCGAGATGATCCTGGGCGCCTGAGTTCCGCGGCCTCTCTCTCTCTCTCCCTCTCTCTCGGACGGTTGGTTTCTTGCACGGCTAGGGTGCGTGCTCTCCAAGACAGCTGCTTTCTCACCGATGGCGCTGCCCGGGTCCCAGGCTACCCAGACAGATTGTTGCTGCCCACGCTCCGGACGTCCCGGGCTCTGAACTGCGGGTGGAGCCCACCGGGCGCGACCTTCCAGGGGGGTTTTGCGTTCTGGTTCCCGGAGACCACGGCACTGCCTTGGCTACTCTAGTCGCGGCCCCAGCCCCTGCCAGAGCCCTGGCCCCGCGGCTGCCTCTTGCGAGCGCTCCAGCTCTCTGCGTCCCTAAGCTTCCTCGCCTCCCTCCCGGGGCGGCAGTGCGGGTGGTGTGAGTCGCCGCGCGGCGAGAGCCACTATAAGCGGCCAGCCGCGGAGCGACCCCTGGCGTCCGAAGCGGGGAGTACGGGGGCGGGGCAGGCCGCGGCCCCCCACCCGCGTCCCCCGAGCCTCCAGGTTCGTTCCCGGCTCTGCAGGGGAAATCGCGGGTCTCCACCCTGTCTTTACTTCCACCCTCGACCCGGCGTTTGGCCTTCTTAGCGCCCAGAAGAAGCCAGAAACAGCGCTGAGGAATAAAGGAGGACCAAAATGCAGGCATAGAGAAGACAGGTGGACCCTGAGCTGAGAAGATGAGGGGTGGGAGCCTCAACCAAAAAACAAACACTAAACAAGAAGGGCAAGGAAAGAGACACGTTTGCCAGCCCACGCCCCTCCCTGTCTGTGCCCGAAGAACAAGCGGCTAGCATTGACCTGAATTAGAAAAGTCAAATCTCCAACCACCCTCATAGGGTCCCAGTGTTGGGGGCTTCGGAGCAAACCCGTGTGTGTGTGTGTGTGTGTGTGTGTGTGTGTGTGTGTGTGTGTAGAGAGGGAGAGGGGAGGCGGGGACGAGGGATGGGGAGAGAGAGACAGGCCAGCCTTCGGAGTGAGCAAGCAAGCAACGGACAGGCAAGCAGAGAAGGAGCGACAGAGGAATCAGAGAGACAGAAAGGCAGCTCGAGATGCAGAGACAGAGACAAAGCTTAGGAAAGAGACTAACTGACAGCCCCCAGGGTGGGGGGAGAGGGAGAGACATAGACCGAGAGAGAGAGACGGGAGCTGAGACAGGTTGACAGATCAGGAGAGAGATGTAAATGGCGTGCGGCAGAGACACCCAGGTCCGTGTGCGGACTCCAATGTGGCATATCAACTGTGGGGAAGACGCGGGGGCGGGGCACTCCTGCAAGCAGAGTGGCAGCTCTGGGCCTGTGCATTGTGACTGTGTGTTGGCAAGGGTACAGGTGGCTTCGGGAGCCTGGACTTGTGGGTCCGTCCCTGGGTGAGTGGGCTTGTGTGTTGTCTTTGTGTGTTTGTATGTGTGTGTGTGTGTGTGCTGTATAAGAGGAGAAATTTGTATTTGTGGGACCCCACAAATGCCATTCCTCCTGCCTCAGGAGTAAAGAGTCTCCCTGGGGGTGGGAAAGAAAGTTGCCAGAGAGCAGCTCCAGTTCTGCTTGCTCTGCCCACCCAGCCCGTTCTTAGCCCGGTGCCAGGCTCGTCCCGGCCCAGGGGTCTCTGCTGGAGCCTGGACACCACAGAACCGGTGTTTTTATGGGGGCGGGGACTGAGGGTTGTTATGCAAATTACCACAACTAAGATGCAGATTAGGTGCTCGGCACCCTCTTGCGAGAGACATTTATTTGCAGGGCAACCAAGAGGAGACACAGGATTTGATGGGGAAGAGGCCAGAGGAAAAGCTGTATCCTTTCCTTGGCCTGGCCCCTCCTAGGGGAATCACAGCAGCCACAGGGCTTGAGGCTGGGAGGAGGGGTCCCAGGACTGGTGGAAATGGGGCTGTTAGGATCAAGGCAGGGGGAGGGATGTGGGAACAACATGTGTAAAATGGAGGGCACAGGGCATGCTTACCAGGTGGCAGGTGCGATTTTCTCATCTCTCCTTGCACCCACCCCCATCACCACCTCACATAATGACAGAGGCAGAAAGAGACTGGCTGGGGCCAGCCCGTGTCTGGGTGTGGGGGCAAGCCCCCCGACAAGCCTGAAAGGACTGGGAGAGAAAGGATTGGCAGTCGGTGGGGGAGGGGCCTCCTCCAACCATAAATACAAATTTTATTCAAGGTCTTTGTCGCCATTTGTCTTCCTCGGGGGGCTGAGGGCCATGTCGGCCCCGTGCATGTCTAATTCCAGATCTGCTCCCCCAGGCTGGATGATGGATGGATCAGAGAGGAGAGAGCGTGTCCGGGCTCACACCAGCCTCCCTGCCTGATCCTCCGGCCCCATCCACCCCAGGGCCTGCCACCCCTCTACTTCCTCCCACCCCTCGCCAGAGCACTCTCTGCCCACCCACTCATCCAAGCCAGCAGGGCTCCCTTTCTGAGCCCCGCACCTCAGCCCCCATCAGGTCTCAATCCCTTGGTCTCGCAGGAGCTTCCCTCCCCTCCCACCCCCAGCCCGGGCTAGGAGCTGCGGTGACCAGCAGGGCTGCAGGCAGCAGCCGTGTGTGTGTGGGGGGGAGCAGGCCTGGCTCGCAGGGAGCCGAGGGGCCCGCTCCATGCATTTATTCATGTTCTGTTGCTCGTTCCCCACGCTCTGGGCTCTGGAATGAAGCTGCCAGCCCGCCACGTCCTTATTGCTTTCCTGCAGCTGTCACATTCGGCCGAGGAGATATCTGGGTAGCGCCAAGGCCAGCCCGGTGCTCCTGGGGCCAGAAGCCACTGGGGAATGCTGGGACCCGTGCTGGGATCCGGGACCATGTACACAGAGCCCCTCCGGCAGCCACTCCAGGGTGGGGTGGGGGAGGCGCCCAGGGAGGCCCATGTGGTTACAAGTGGGAAGTAGGCAGTGAAAGGTCTGCAGGACAAAGAAGGGACAGTGGCGATGGGGAGGCAGGGCTGGTGGGGGGAGGGGAGGAAGACTTGAACAGTTTCCTGGGCTCCCCCATTTGAAACACAACCTCCACCTTTGGCTCTGCACAAACCCTGACCCTAATCCCAATTTACACACTTGACTCCTCTCCAATTCCTAAAAGGATTCTTAACTCCAGAGCCTGGCCCCACGTGGAACACTCCCCCCCCCCACCTGTCCTAGAACCCCGAGGTCTCCCCAGAATTTCCCCTAGGGCTATAGCCAGGTGTGTGTCAGAGTTCTGAGTACCAGACTTTGGATTAGCATGTCATTAGCATATTATTTGCATGTGATATGTGCCTTCTACTCTGCGGAAGTTTTCATGTTAAAATTTTATGAAGTCTAGCAGAAAGGTCCCGGCTCCTTGAAGGTTCTCTCTTCTCGTTCCTTCTCTCACACGTCTTGTCACTGACCCAGAGCTCCTCAGGAGGAGAAAGGGGGCAAAGAGGTGACAATGGAGGGCCCATGGGCAGGAAGGTCCTGGCAGTGTGATCTGCCTCCATCACTAATACAACCCTCCATTTCTTCCACTCTAAAGGGGAGAGGAACCAGCTGGCTGATGTTCCATTGAGATCTATGGAAGAGAGGCCAGCGCTGTGAGTGAAGTGGGTGAAGCCTCAATCTGTGGCCCCCGGCATCCTATATGGGTGCCGGTTTGAATCTCAGCTGCTCCACTTCCAATCCAGCTCCCTGCTAATGTGCCTGGGAAAGCAGCAGAAGATGGCCCAAGTGCTAGCACCTGAGTGCCCTGCACCCAATGGGAAACCTGGAAGAAGCTTCTGGCTCCTGGCTCCAGCCAGACCCAGCCCTGGCTGTTGCAGTCATTTTGAGAGTGAATCAGTGGAGGGAAGCATTCTTTCTCTCTCTCTCTCTCTCTCTCTCTCTCTCTCTCTCTCTGTCTCTCTCCTCTCCTTCTCTCTTCGTAACTCTGGCTTTCAAGTAAATAAATCTTTAAAAAAATCACTTTTTTTTTTTTTTGCCTTCCCATTTTCTCCTTCCTTTTCTTCAGGGTCAGTGCTGGAGTAGCTTCCCACACACACACACACACACACACACACACACACGCTTTCAGATCCCATATGGAGATAGCACAGAGAAAGTGCAGCCTGGCCTGCTGATTCCGGAGCCCTGGTGTAAAAACAAGGGAACTTTGTCCACTCCAGAGGACAGGAAACAGCATGGAAAGGGAAATAAGATTAGTGAGTGCATTTTGAAGCTCAGAATTAAAAAAATAGTATCCCTTATTTTTTCATTAAAATAAAAAATTCATTGAGGGGCTGGCATGTGGCATAGAAAGTTAACCCTCCACCTGCAGTGCTGGCATCCCATATGGGTGCTGGTTTGAGTCCTAGCTGCTCCACTTCTGATTCAGCTCTCTGATAATGCACCTGGCAAAGCAGAGGAGGATGGCCCAAGTGTTTGAGCCCCTCCTGCAACCACGTGGGAGACCTGGAAGAAGCTTCTGGCTCCTGGCTTCAGCCTGCCCCAGCCTCAGCCATTGGGGGTCATTCGGGGAATGAACCAATGGAGGGAAGATCTCTCTCTCTCTCTCTCTCTCTCTCTCTCTCTCTCCTCTCTATATCTTAAAAAATTCATTTGAGAGACAGAGATTCCAACACCTAGCCTACTCCCCCAAGTACTTACAACAGCCAGGGCTGGGTCCAGACTGAAGCTGGGAGCTGGCAACTCAATCCAAGTCTCCCACAAGGGTAGCAGGGACCCAGCTATTCCAACCACCACCACTGGCTTTTAGCTGCCAGTTCTTGCATCCTCACAATCTCCCCTGAGAGGTAGTTCCATTGTCCCCATTTCACAGGTGAAGAAACTGAGGCCTACATAGGGAAAACCGGGCTGGTCAGTACCGCCTTCTAAAAGACAGTGCTAGAATTAGACTTAGCATCTCCTGGCTTCCTTCTTATTGCCAGTGGAAGTATGAGAGAAACAGGACAGGAGTGGGCAGCCAGATTTGGATGACTCTCAGAGGAGACCTTATATTTGACAGCAAACCTCTGCCCCAAAGCAGTCAAGCCTGACACCAACGGTGCTCAACGGCTGGGCTCAGGTATTGCCGGAATTAGCTGTGGAGATACGGTTGAGATGGAGGAAGGAGCAGGGGAAAGAGAGGGAATGGAAACAGCCAGCCACAGGGGTGAAAAGGAGGATTGAAGCTGGCTCACTCCCCGGCTCCCACCCTGGCCTAAGGACCTAGCTACCTTGTCTAAACTACTGACGCCCAGGCTGTGGGCGCATCCCGCGAGCGGGCACCGGGCAGGTGCCCCAGGCAGCTTTGGATTCAAAGGTTGCGCCGGGCTCGCAGGGCTGAGAACGGGTTCCCAGCAGCCCAGAGACGCCGCAGATATTGCTTCCAAGTCTCTGGCCAGGCCAGAATGCACTGCGGACTCACTCCTGCAGCGCTCGGCCCTGACCTGGTGCGGCTCCGAGTCATCGCCGTCTCCTCCATATACCTTCCTGTGTGCCTCCCTCGTCCCCACCGCTCTCCCCTTCCAGCCTCCAGTTAATGAAACGAGGCGATTGGCTGTACAGACAGCTGCCAGACCCCTCACTTCTCCGCCGGGATATTGGATGCCAC